GGCTGAGAGTGATTCCATAAGTCTCGTTATCGCATTCCAGCATGCCCATCCAGACCGTATTTAAGCGAATGGCATTTGAACCCTTTCATTTCTATCAAATGTACCTTTGAAAAATGTTGCCATCGAGTTTACCATCCCCGTTGACAAAGCAATTAGCATTCATTATCGTGACCAGTCGTCCCGGTTTTACCAAGTCCCGTTTTTTATGGAACAGTCCCGGTTTTTGAGGTTCTGTCCCGGTCGGACAACTGTCCCAATTTTTTCTTTCCAGTGTCCCCATCTCTTATGCATAGCAGTTCATAAACGCCTCTCCGACCAGAAACGTAACGAAAATGTCTCTAGGTTTTTCCCCGAAAATATATGGTAGCCAAATTAAGTCGTGATTTAATTACTTAATTACATATAGAAGATTGGATCCAGTCAAATGAACACTCAGTGACATCTTTAAAACATCCTTGGAAAACATTTCCCTCCATATATCGCTAACAAAATTGGTGTAAAGTGAAATACTTCAACTAAAGGTCACCTTTTTTTTACTACTTCGGGCCTCCGATCGGAATTTTTGGCTTCAGTTTCAGAGCAATCGGCGTGCGTGACGGAGACTGCGTGATAGAAACTAAGTGCAACCTGAAATTATACACACACAGGAGTCTTGAAGACCGGAACCGATGCTCAGGCGAGCCAGTGAATGTGACGATTAGCACATATGCTGTCAGCCTATTATGCTCTAAGCGAGTGTAACCAATATTTTCCGATTTGTTTTCAAAAGCCGCGTCAGGAGCCTGGAAGGATGTGATGAAACCGTATGCAAGACCAATACTTAACAACAGACACTCGGACTACAGGGTGTCCAAAAAGTCACTGTCGCACCAGAACAGTACGTACCTATAAATTATAATGGATGTTGGAAACGCCCTCCACGGGCCTCCAGACAAGCACGAACGCGTTGAATCTTGTTTCTGAAGACTCGCTAGCACATCGATTTTAATATTGATTTCGATTTTAATTTAGGTTTACTCTCTGATGGCATCCTTGAATTCTGGGATGCTGTGGGGTTGTTTCTGCCGACGTCGCCTTTCGTTGCTCCCCCACGAAGAACGATCTGCATTAGAGGTTTTGTTGGAAGCAGCCGGTGGTGATTTTCGTCCTCGTTCGATTGTCCGATGAATGGGTAGAAAATTTCATTGTAATTAAGGTCTGCATCGATGGTCTGGCCGAAAAATATTGGTCCAATAATCACCTCATGTGAGATCGCGCACCAAACTCCAATTTCCTGATCTTGTAAAGATGTTACTCCAAATTCGTGTGGATTATCGGCTGGCCGACACTGATTGTTTTGGCTGTTTACGTAACCAGATAAATGGAACCACGCTTCATCGGAATAAAGCATCACGTCCAGAATGATACCATCAATTGCAGTGATGGTGTCTAAGAGCCATTCAAATACGCTCCTCAGTTTGGGACAAGAGCTTCACTCCAGTTTTCCTCTCTTTTTGTTCATTTTCGGCTCTTTTTCGAAGAGCAAAAAGTCACGAAAATTGGAGCAATTTTCCTCTCCTTTCTCTCTTAGAGCAAAAAGGGAGGGAAACTAGAGTTAGTGCTCGCTTGTTTTCAAGAGTGTACACGCTTTTGTAGCCGATCGGTTTGGACTCCTGCAATGCAACGAAGGATCTCCACGCTGCCACGTACAGCGCCACAACCAATGCGCGTCAGAAACAAGATTCAATGTATCTGTTCAATGTGTGTCTGTAGGCACGTGGGGCCGTTTCCAGCATTTGTTATAGCTCGCAGGTAGGTACTATTCTGTTTGTATCAGATGCACGGTGACTTTTTGGACAGCCTGTAGGTACAGATAACTGGAAGCTGATAAGGTTTTTCTTAAAATCGGCTTTTGCCGTGAACGGCAACGAGTACGTAAATTGCAATCTCATCGATCTAGAACGTTCCCTTTTTCGGTCGCTTATTAGTATGACCTCTAGCCTGAAGTATGGTGTTCCACATAATATCACATCGAGACGCTGAAATTGCCGCAGTGCCGTTCTGGATTTAGGAAGTAGAAATCCCGATCTAGGCGGTTCTGCTCTCGAAAGCCGTTACTGCGTACTTTCGAGAAGACAGACTTGGCAATGACGTCAAAAATCTTCTAAAAATGTCAAACCCTTTCTTCTCGTTGTGGCCCAGAAGGCAGTGACGGTAACTCTGGTGACACGGATCTACATAGGGCAAAAAGGAGTCCGGAAGAAGGGAACTACGCGCTAAAAATGGGTCTTAAAAGAAAAAGGAAGGAATTTTAGAGAAGAGAAGGGAGAGTCATCAGAGCATGGGACTGGGACTATACGGGGTGACGCCCCCCATCCCTCCTCCCTCCTCCCCCCCCCTTTTTAACTTCTCTCTCTCTCTCATTGAGGTGGTTGGTGAGTGCTGAGGGACCTTCTTGTCTGGGTCTGTCAGTCACTTCTCTGGACTCGACCAGTGAATACATCCTTCCAGGTCGTCTGATGAAGTGACAGACTTGAGACACCATCCAGGTTCGTGGTTCTTTCCCAGTATCTTCTGTCTTTTTATTGCAATGTGGTAGATTTCGTAGCAATTTTCCGTGCTTGTCTTCTTACAGGAGAGACGAACGTTTTTTCAAAGCAAGGTTGGGTCAAGAATTATCCAGCAGCGTTTTTGTCTCTGGTAATTTTTTTACTTCTATGATGGTAACTGGATTTAGTCAAAATATATCAATGTACCGACTGCCATTGGCTGAAGTATAACAAGTTCTGCAGCAACACGTCTTTTCGCAAAATGTATACCAACTCAACATACTTTCTGTGAAGAGGTTTCATTGCAAGGGTAGCATTATGAACTTAGCTCTCACTACGGAAGAGCTTAACATACGATCTTTTTAGGGATTTTCAGAAAGAGTTTGGAGTACTAAAGCGTGGAGTAGTAAATAACTCAGGCAGTTTTCATTCTGCACAAAATGAAAAATGCTCTTCTGATTCTGAGACGCAGCCTAGAATCAGATTGATGATGCCCATCTATCAAGTATATATTAAGACTGAAAAATGTGCAGGTCTACTAGACCTACCTAGTATGACTTGAAGGGCAACTGAGAAGAACAGGAATCGACTCTTTAAAAAAATTTGAAACGTTCATCTTTGACGGAGCTCTCGGAGGACTCAGCACAGATCATCAGTCAGATAAAGCCAGTCATAGTGATCAAGAATGACAAACTAAGTTCAGTTTCAGTCCGAACAGTATCCTAATCAGATTGAAAAGGGGAGAAGGCTACTGGGATCATTACTTGAAACTGCATAAGTCTTGGAGTCAAACTAAGGGTTAGGCAAGGATTCGGTTCCATTTTCTGAATTCTTCTTGAAGAAGTATTCAGAAAATGGAACGTAGAATGGAAAATGGAATGTAGTTCCATTTTCTGAATTCTTCTTGAAGAAGAATTCAGAAAATGAAACTATATTTGTCTGATGTTATTGTGGGAGCGGGTTCTGCCAGAATTTTTAGGATTGGGTTACATGAATGGTCTCAAGAGATCGGTGATCAAGAAACCCGGTGCAAGATTTAAAACAAATCAGGAGTGGGGAAACGAGTGAGTATTCTTTATGCTGTCATCGGAGACGAGGAGTCTCTCCTGCTGCCTTCTTGCCCCATGCTAGTCCGCTGTCTGTTCTTAAGACATTTAGCTTTGGGAAGGTTTTTCGAAGGTAGCTTGATAGGATCTAGTTAGAGTCGACAGTCAGGGTAAATCCGATGGGAACTCTCAAGGCACTCCAGAGGGTGGCCTGGAAATAACTATTAATAAATTAGTACGTCTTGCTTTTTTTTTACCACACAAATATGCTGTCCCGTACGTTGTAAAGTACGCGTCAATTATTCGAGAAAGCATTAAAAATTGATTCAATAATAAATTTATAAAAATAAATTAAGAAACCGAATTTCTTCTCGAAGATGTTGAGAGAATGAAGACTGAATTTCTGAGTGTTTCAATTGACAGACGCACTGCAATAAGTCGCTCAGGATATTCAAAGTTCACATTGAGGTGTATGCGCTGCAGGCGGAGCAACTCATGTAACTCATTCAACGATTGTCCATGTTGTTACAAAGTGCTATGCAGCACACGTTTCACCGCACGATTATATCTGCATTCACAAGAGATAAAAAAAAAACTTTTTTTAACACCTCACGTAAATTCTATGAAACTCTCTTAGCAAGGTGTAATGGAGAATAACGACATGCTCCCACTTTGATTAGCCTTCAACAAATTGGGTCAATTGCCACCACGTGGGTGGACCTGAAAGTTAACGGTGGAGGTATACATTATCAAATCATTGCATGTTGCTTTGAATTTTTTTTGCTGTTTCCATTCCTTAGAAGGTTTGATCCTTACGATCCTTTATTGCGTGCAAGTCGTTCCCCCCCCCCCTCCCAACCTCTGAAAGTATTGTCGCAGTCACAAGTGTTAATCTATAACGTGACGCTCCTGTTTATTTATGGATCTCTAAATTTAGGGAGACAGTCTTTAGAATTGACATTTGATCACGCGTTGTCTTAAAACCAGACCGGTTAAGTAGCCGGTAAGGAGTCGTTTGTGATTGATAACCGTCGGAATCGTCCATCGTGATGACTATAGGCAAGAGGCCTCAGACACGTGAATGCGTCGAGATTCCATGTGCAAAGGAAGTACGAGTCATAACGACCCAACTGTTCACCGCTTGCTCAAGTGAACGAGAAAAACCGCGGATATATTTATGCCGATGCCGATGGTCTCCTTGCTCAGTTTTACCGAGATCAACAACGAAAGCATGTATCGTGATTCTCCGCCTTCTCACTATTTTTTTGTTTTAAGTTTTCTTATTATAAATATAGGAAATTTAGGAGCGCGGAAAACTGCAAGGCAGAGCAGGTCATACGACACTGAGTTTTACGTTTTGCCGCATCACGTTAGACGAGAGTAAGCAAAGGTTGCAGACACTGGTGGCACGAGAGGGTAACTGTCGATGAACGGTCTTCTGGTTCGGTACGGTTTCGGTGGTCGATTTTGCGGGGTCCCATCCGTGAATCTTCATGCAAATGATGTCAGCTGGTATGCCTATGCCGATGTCGACCAGGTGAGAACCGTGGCCCCTCGTGCTTCTCTCTACATCCTTTTCTCGCTCTGACGGCCATTGACATCGGCATTCTTCCCTCTGTGCTGCGGGTCTCCGGTCGGCTTCGACATAGGAAAATTCTCCTCTCAGTGACATGTTCTTCTCGACTCATACCCTTCTACTATCTTGGTGGGTTGCACTCATGATAGTGTACTGTGCTTCAGTGCTGCACTAAAGATATTTCAGACTTCGTTTACTCTTGATAAGAATGTGCTGTTGCTTCGGAGTTTGAACGACCTCTGGGGTAATTGAGGCACGCTGGAATATGACCTACAAATACGCGGGGTTAGGAAGCGGTGCATGGCATACAACGTGTACGGCATAATGAAGAAAGGGGCCGCTATGTACACAACGAGGAACTGACAGATGCCTTTAATAAGACATCCGTTTTCTCTTCCTTTTGACACCCAGTTTGACACAGAAACATGAGATTCCTTCCTCCCCTGCATTTTATATAGATAACGGAAGACATGAATCGGAGGCCTTGGAGCCTATTGGGGCTTCTGGTAGTTCTGCTACTGGGAATGAGCCATGCTGACAACACGAAGACAGAGGAAAACTTGGACGCCCAAGAGTTGGACGGCGGGCGACAGAGCCGGGGTTTGGCCCTGTTTGGCCTCATGAAGGAGGTGGTGGCCAGAGCAACCACCACCAGCGAGGTGTTGACCCTCAACCTCACCAATCTCGTCATCTTACTCGTACTCAAGGGCATCCTCATCGCCATCGGCATCGCTGGTGGTTTCGGCTTTGGCGGACTCTTCGGTGAATCCCTTTTATTCTTCTCCACGTAATAACTCTGAGTTTTGACATTGACACTTTATAGCGATGGGTCGATTCAGAATCGGACCTCACACCTATATCCCCTTGAGGAACATAATTGTAAATTAAATTTCATGATCAGATTAATCTTAAGATCAGATTCTAATGATAGAATAAAATTTCCGATCCCATATGAAATGTCCTGGGGAACTTATACAGGTTACTCAATCGCATTTCTGAAGTTAATATTAGAGAAAATATACTGTAGATGAATCATCACGTTAATTGGTGACGTCAAAGATATAGACTGTCGAACAATGGCTGAAGCTCAAAGATAAAGTAAAAACTCAAACTTGGATCTGAATCAAAATCTTCTCGAACCTTTTACAGAATAGCTGAATAAAATTTGAATACGAATGACTAAAATTCCACCGTGACTCGAATCACTCCAAATCAGTCCCGTATCTTCTAAAATAAGATTCAAATCGAATCTCAATTCAGGTTTGAATTCTCAATTCAAGCTTCGTCCATCGCCGCTGCTAGTGCTGCATCATTCCGCGCTTACATTTCCATACGAAAAAGTGGATCCATGGTGAATCCACATTTTGCCAGTTTCACCACTCCACACCACCTGTCACTCCCTCAGTGTCAGGCTTCTCACCGCCTATTTGCCAGTATTTTCCCAGAACGCATGGTGAATCCGGCGATTCACCACACTATTTTTAATGCTACAACGATGAATCCTAGGCCCATAATAATCCATAATCCATAGGAAATCCTTCCTATGGATTATGGATTATTATGCACAATGGATTTGTGCAAGTGGCATCACGATCATTACCTGTATCTGAATTCTGATCGTGAAGCTCGTACATAGTTCACACATGGTACGTGACTGGTATAGCATAGTTGGTGTCAACAAATGTCGTAAAGACTGACTCCCGAAACACTGCTGAAAAAGAAATCCAAATAGCCCGCACACCGTAGAATTTGGGTCAAACAAAGTCCTCGACCTGTCCGTTACGGGACTTATGATTCTCACTAAGAGAGAGCTTTACGATATTTGTTTTTCTTCATTGCAGGTATGTAAAAAAAAGAGTTTACCTTTTTTTGTCTCCCTTTTTGGGCGTGTCGTAGCTCTGAAGAAACGAAGCATACATAACATCTGGTTCTGTATCCCTTCTCTGAAGGCGGGAGGAGTTTCGAGACGAAGAAGTCCTTTTTCCAGACGGACGACCTGCGATGGATGATGACCTACATGATCGGCACGTATGACGCCGATTATTCCTGTCTCAATCTTCTCGCTTGCCTGGACCCCGACAATGCTCACGAATACGTCATGGGTGCCAAACTCATGATCAAGGGTGGCAAAGCCGTCAGCGACTTCTCCAGAGGGTGAGATTTACTTTCATTTGAATACTGTTACCCGGGAAATATTTGCTCGCTTTCGCGAGAGACAGTAGAATGTGGACGTTTTCTGCTGTAAATATTTTCCTCCATTATACAATTTTATTTTCAGGGAATTTCCACAATTTCCACACTCAATACGAATATAACGGGGAAAAACTCCAGCATGGAGGTGGAACTCGTGGGGATATGGGGTTCCGCGGTCACCCCACGAATCCTCCAGCTGTTTTCTCAGCACTCCCGCCCATTTTATTTGCTTTTAGCGCACCAAGAAAATTTCGTTTTCTAGCAAAAAAATTTTTTTTTTTCTCACAGAGGGCAAATGTGACAGTTCTGCGATTGGTCGAAAATGCATTGAATCTCGGAAATCCCCCTCCGCGGATTTGAAGGATATGCCAATTTTACAAGCATTTTATATAGCGAATTTTCTCCAGGTTACAAAAGAAAATTTGCATGGACTTGAAAGTTTGATTCTTTCACCATCAACGCTCTGTTGATGGTGAAAGCTGACGTCGACTCTGTTGCTACCACGTCACACTTCTCTGCTAAGGAGATTGCTTGCTTGCAAATTAACCCCAACTGATGTTCTTCACAATCTTCATAAGTTAATTTCTATTTTGATCACAAGTCCGTTTCGGTCTTACTTGCTGAACTCGTGTCCCAGGATAGCCATTATCCTTTCACATTTTGTATCCTATAATGTCCTTCAATGCGCTCGTAGGTAATGGGCAACTTGGGGATACAAAATGAAGATTCAGAAACCGAGAATAATTTTTTTTTTGGCTTGGGTGCAGGCCTATGGTGGTAATCGGAGTATTTTGTGGCGCACTTCGTATCTATATTCAGATATTCAGTGGGTGAGGTCAGGGGAAAGTGATAAAAAAGGAAAGGTTTTCGTCTAGTGAGTTTCTCATATTTCTCGCCCTATAAAACGCGACGATGGAAAGTGAATGTGAAGTCGCACATGGACGAATCTCATCAGCGACCCAGCCCCACTTCAAATGCATATGATTGGCCAAGCACGACGCGAAATAGACCTTGTACTTGCAGGCTTACGCATTCGTCCTCTCCCAGGTGAAATGTTGGCGCCAAAGCCTTCTTTTTGAAAAATTTACGGAGAACTTTTGGGGAAAAATGTTCACTTATCGGTTTATTAATCTAACTTATTTATCTTAATTACGATTGAACTCTATAGAGGACTCTGCTCACACAACGGAAGGTGGTGTCTTCCTATAATAAGTGAAGAGCCCCTCAAAGAGCTCCTTGGAAACTTAAGAATACCATCTGAAAACCATCATTGTTTTCGGAAATTCTTTGGAAGTTCTAGATTATAGAGCAGGCCTAATAGTTTTATTTTTAGCTCAGAAAAGACATTTCAGTTAGGGTCCTACTTTGAAATGTAGATGACTGTAAACCACATGTAATTGTATTTGCTCTTTCCCTTTCGCAGTTGGATCCCATATAACACCAAGTACGAGCAGATCGTCCGGGATCTTCAAGCTGGAGCGGAATACGCGGGACAATGCGAACGCAAGTACCACTGTGACCTCAAACTCTTTTGATAAAGAAAACAGACAAAGAAATGGTGGGGGAAAAACTCCATGGACAGAGAGTGTAACCTGGGAGAGTGAAACTTTCCCAACCTCTGATAATTACAGTATTGCCCCAGGGCTTGACTGGTAAGTGCTTCAGACTTGGGATCGCAGACTGTCAAAATCGACTTCCCCGTATATGGTTCGACTTGCTTTTTTCGACACCTGTGATATTGATGAAGACCAATGACTGACTCTAGTGACCTCTGACCTCACGCAACATGCTCATAACTATGACCTATATACTCTTCGGACTACCTGACTCGATGCTCATTAATTTATCATGTGGTACCCCTTGAATCTCCGTCCATGTAATGTTACCATTGACTGATGGTTTTTTGCTTTGCTTTATTTCTCTGCTTTGTTGTATGAAATTCAGGACAGACCTGATTATTACGAACTCCAGCCTGGGCGTTTCATTGACGATAGGAATTAGTCTAGCACGGAATGAACTCACCTTGACCGGGGAGAAAGCCAAAGCATCTGGAGGGAATCCAAGCATGATGCGAATGCAGCAGGCTTATTAACTGCTATCGCCGTGCCATGTGTGAGCACTGAGGAGTGCATACAAGTCCATCGGCACATCTGAGATGCACCCCGTTATTTCTAGGGCGTACCCTGTATCATGTACGATCAACCACGATTGAGGCACTTCGCTCCTCCCCTACAAAATGTGGAATCAAAGAAAAGAGCTTGAAGGACGTGCATGTGCATCGATCCAACGTTGTACAAAATCATAAGTAAGCATGCTGTAGAGTGTCTAACCTATCCCCCCCCCCCAAACATAGCTAGGTCTGATTTTTAAATAATTAAAAATCCTTCATCATTAAAATACACGCCAAGCAAACGCGCGAAAGCAAAGTGCATTCGCGGAAAGACATTGGGAAAGACATTGCCAAACGATTCACTTTAAGGTGGTTATCGTCAATTGAACCAAATCAAAATCAATCAATGCAAAGGCACGAAGTGAGAAGCCTCTTCTGAAGTTGGCTTCAAAAGCAGAGATGACTGCTAGACTGCCTTCCGTAATACCTGTTGATAAGTTTTTTGTGGAAATTTTCTATTTCTCAGGAACGATAGAATTAACAAACGAACAATGTTTCTGAGGTCCAACCATTCTCGAGATTGCTTCTGAGGATTAAATTCTGTTCAAGAATACAATCAATGATACACGACCACATCAAAGAAATTCCTCTAAGGATTAAATGATGGCCATTATGGAATCTAAACGGGATGATCACCAGGGACAGAAGGCTCTACCAAGGCAACGAATGTGGCCTGATGCTCCCACCTTAACTCTTCCGGCTTTCCCGCAAACCCATGTAAATTTCTCCCCTGACCCCCTGTACCGTAATGCAACCCCAATCAGTCTCTAACGTCTGACCCCCGTGGCCTTCCAAGGGGAATGTACGCAGAATAGCTTTGACGCTGAAATGTATCTCATCGATGATCGATCCCTTTGACATTACCAAGACTTTGTTATGGCTCGTAACAGTGCAGCGTCATAAACAGACTTTCAATCTTACTGTCAATGAGAGTTGGCTACCGCGAACTTCATCATCTTGTGGATTCATGCACCCAAGGAAGTCGTATGAACATCGGTACAGTACAGCTGAAAACTTGCATTTCATCTCCTTTGTTGAGAAGGACTCTTTCCAAGATCAGTGACAGAATGAATCTTGCATAATGCACACAACACACAACTTTGAAAGCATTTCTTGTACTGAAGTTGCTGTCGCTGGACATGCTACAGAGTCTCAGCCATATAAAATGGATATAGGAGGGGAGATATCGAAGTTTGAATTTTAAAATGCGAATTCGTGATAAATTTAATGACCCTATTGGGATTACTATGACTTACTACCCCTGCTGGGCCCCACAACAGCCGTTGTAGAATTGGTGCAAGGTGTGGCACGATAGAAGGGATATCGTTTCGTTCTTCTGTGGCGTATTATGACACACTTGGAATGTGCCAGGTGTGTCGAATTTCTGACATGTACGTTGGGTCAAAAGGTCTCCGTGTGAACTGCATTCTTTCAGCTTTAAACACATTTAATAAATTCAGCCGAGAAGCAATACTTTTTCTAGATCCCTGGAGGAATCTTGAAATCTTCCTGTTGCTCCGATCAGTCGCAAAGGGTTACGTAGCCCTCCCTGTACAGGTCGAGAAATTCTAACCTGAGGTCAACTAGCGTTCCATTCGAGATAGATGATAGAAGAGGAATCATCGCCTGAAAGGGACAAGTACACTCCTAACCCGGGGAGGACTTCCTGGCCTCCACTGTCGTCTGTTTCCGACAGGATCTACACTGTAAAAAATAAAGGTTCGGACTAGAACCCTCAGCTGCGTGTACGCTTTTTCAGTGCGGTTTTCGGCGATCGAGAAACCATTTGGAATGGTTTTAAGTTCACTTCAAAAACTACTTGACATAATGACGCATAATAATAACTTGGTAGCTTTTGAATTATTAAGGATGGGGCTCGGCAAGAATCTAGGTTTTGTGATCCCTAGAACCATTTTTTCACGATCTTTGCTTAATAGTTATTTGTGGGAGCGATCACATGAATGTCTCAGATCGCAGAATTGATCATCTGCTGTGTCGAAGTCTTCAGATCCTGGTAACTCCAAGAGTTAACCAGTTTCAGCTCGTGTAGGCTTGACTCCCCGAAAATGGTTCTATAAAAGTTTCACCGATAATGGTTCCAATCCGAACCTTCAATTTTAGAGAGTAGAACCGTTTTTCACAAAATGTGCGTAATAGTTACCAGTTGGAATGATTGCCTGACTGTCCATGTTCTGCCCTTTTAACGATCTGAGATCGTGGTAGCTCCTGGAATCATTATCATTTCTTCAACGAAAATGGTTCTATAAAGGTTTCACTCTAGAACCTTTTATTTTATTTATTTTTTTTTACAGTGTATGGCATTTTTAGTGACTTCACGCATTAGTGAATAATGCTGCGCCTCGAATCTTTCTTGTTTTTGATGAGTCCAGGCCAGATCCTGATCAGATGTTTCAAAACATTTTCGCCCTCATAATATGAAAAAAGTGTGTCCAAATGACCATACGAGTACAAAATGTGTCACTTCGATACCAAAAGTTTTGCGTGCAGCAGCTTATCATCTATTTCGAATGGAACGCTAGTTGACTTCCGTTGATAACCTGATGTCAATTAACGACAGTCGACTGATCTGCGCCGCAATGCCGAAATAATGCAGTTCAAACCGAGACATTTTGACACATAACGTACGTGTCAGAAATCCGACACATCTACTGGCACATCCCAAGTGTGTCATAATAGGGACAAAAAAGTTTTGTGAACGGGCTGAGCATTCACCTCAGAATTCTCGTACGTCCCACGTCTTCCAGGGAAGGGAGTGCAATGTACTCAGGGGTTTCTCTTCCCAGCAAGGCTCCCATCTGTCTTGCATTTTGCGAGACACTCCCAAAGGAATTGTATCGGAGTCAACTCCGGGATGAAGAAAATTTGACAGCCCTACTTCCTAGACACACTGAGACTTTCACTCGGAATAAAATGCCTCACTTCGTACCAGGTAACAGAGGGTCATGCTCCATGCTGTAGGAGCCAAGCTCGCCGCCAACAGGGCCATTCACCAATAAGCATGATAATTACACAGTTCCAATAAATATTCTCAAGCAATTCATTTCTAGCCCATCCACAAGAATGTACACACAAAACTTTTGGTGCCGAATTGACACATTTTGTACTCGTCTGGTCATTTGGACACACATTCTTCTTGTTTTTTGAGGGCGAAATGCGTTTTGACATATTTTGGACTCCTAGAAGAACTTCATGGAGCCCTAGGGGCTCTTCCGGGCCAGAAGTGTGTCGAAATTCTGGGGAAGTGATAGTGGTGTGTCGATTTGACACAATTTCAACCTAAGAAGTTCCGAGAGGGGAAAAAAAAGGTCTGAGGGGAAATGTCTTCATGCGCACTCCCAAGCCTGTCACTCCTCTTTTCGACTTTCCCTTTTTTAATTCAAAGGTATTACATTAAATAACTTCCGACCACGATATGTTCTGCTATGTAGAGAAGGCAGAGCGTATTCATAGCATTTCTAACTGCAATCTAAAATAAACCATTGATAGGAACTACACGACGCCTGAGCGTCTAAATGGTGGAACTACATGACTGACTCCAATGATGCGGTCACTATTCATCTCTTTCAAGTGCGGACGTTCGTGTGGTGTGTTACTCTATATAGTGTTGGGACTTGTGACCTTGTGTAACTGACCCTGAGCACGATTCTTGATGTAGTTTGCTTTATAGCAAGTCCTAGACGTGCGATACTTCCCAGCAAACTACTCATCCGTCCTCCTCGATTTCCCGGTAGATTCCCCTGATAATGCAGCTGGAAATCAGAACAGGCACCAGGCCTAGCCCTGGTGTTTCTTCCTGACGACACCACGCCTGTAAACTACGTGTGCTTAGGTAGCATGATGACCTGGTAGCAAAGTAATCCCTATGATACCTCACTCTATGGCTCTAATTTTATACAAAATCTTTGATGTGTTGATGCGACACACTTCGACTATTTCAGAGCCTCTGGACACACACCTTTCGACACCTTCGAGTGTGTTGAAAATTCGCCGTATTCAAAGTGTGACACTTTCGACACAGCATTTTCGTGTCAAAAAAAGTTTTGTATGTAGTCATTGAATCACGAACCCAGCGGCTCCATTTCAACGCTAGTCAGGTCGAGTTTGAGCGTCGGAGCATGACAGAGAAACACAAAACGTTTTGGCCATTCTGCACGAAGAAGCGCCCTGAATCGTCAATTTCCATAATTTGGAAACAGTGGAACGTCAATATTTGCTCGTCACGATTAATTACCATAGGCAACATTTGAAGGTTTCTAAGGTGTATCAGGGCAATTGGCCTTCCGAGTTTCATCACAAACAGCGCCGACTTCAGGGTACTAGAAGAAAATACAACCTACGGCTTTCCTCCGAGGCCAGTCGAGGAATTCAGAGTTTGGCTGAAATAAGAAATTCTGCAGTCATTAGGATGCTGCCTTTACGAAAAATCCCCCTGTAGTCCACCGGGGGACTATCCAAATCCTCCGGGTGATCCACATGTGGACTGACAGTTAACCGTGTGGACTTACTGTGGACTGTAGTGGACATAAGAATATCCCCATGTGGACTATGTGGATCCTCTTAATCCACAAGTGATCCACATGTGTATTCATCCAAATCCTCCTGGTGGACTTAGGATAGTCCACATGTGTGGACTTTTCGTAAGGGTGATAGTTCATTCTTTTCAGAATGAAGATGATAGAACGATCAAACTTCTTCATTGAGGCTGCAAAACCTGCTTTCTTGTCTCGTTGTCAGGGATTCTACGAACTGATACACATTCACGCGATATGCCAAATATTATGGTTACGAGTCCGATAAAATCAAAAGTATGTATCTCTTAACGCCGCGTCAAACGTAAATTGAGGAGGAAATGTTCGTATTTTCTCCTATCGCAGAAATAGCGGGCAGCAAAAAGAAACATGAAAATAAGAATAAACCTGAAAAAAAGAGGACGCTGAAACTTTCATGAAGGATCAAAATAAAATCCCATCCGACCTATTTTGAATAGCAAATTCTTCCGCACTCGTGTTACAGCAATATCAGACACCAATACGAAGGCCATGCCATCGTTTGGATTCACTGGCGCCCTGTGTAATAATATTCTTTCAATGAAGAGAGCGCTGGTCGGCTCCAAGAAACAATTTCCCTATCACAAAAAGCGAACATATGGTGCCCGAGAAAAAAAAATTTATTAAGCGATAGCATAACTCGACTCAGCGCGATAACGCATGTTTTTATATCCTCGCCTCGAGCTCATTCTCTTGAGAATCTCAAACCAGGCAATTAAATTCGAAAAAAAGTCGATATATTTCATGCGTATATTAAGAAAAAAAATTCTCTATTCCCATTACGAGACATCTGTTGCAGGCTGAGTGAAGCTTTCGAATCGTTGAGAATCTCAACTCTGCTCCGTAAGACGCGGTAGAAAATCTCTCCGCCCGCCCCAACTAGTACATGGAGTCGAAGGGTTAGAATATGTCCCCGAAATTTCAGGCTCTTCAATTATCCAAGGAAGTTGAGAAAGACACGAGACCAGGAAACTTCTACATATAGGGGAAGGCGGGGGCAAAATGGGCGAGGGGCAAAACGGGGCAACTCAGACTTTAACCAAACCGTACCCGATATCTATCGGCTATTTACCCTATTATAACCGCCCACCACGGGTGCAAGTTTTCAGGCACAGCGGCGCTCCGTAAAGTAGTTTGTAAACGCTCAAGAAGCAAAAGAAGAAAACATCCCATACACATCTCACACAAAAATCCTTTCCCTCTCAGGGAAGGGATTTTCGCATGAAAACTCGTTTCCAGGTCGGCTGGCAACAATTCTCAGTCGAAGAACGCGAAATTTCCTTTCTCACTAGGTACAAAGGTGACGACAAATGCCACGAATATATGCTGGACAACGCTTCAAAGCATGATCTTTTTCGATACAGACTTTTTCTGATGACGGTCACAACCAAGCCTAATCAATAACAGAGAAACAGAAAAAATACGTTAAAAAATGAGCAAGGACAATGATTAACCAATGGTGCGCTATGTTGATGCAGAAGCATACAGTGTTGCGCACCAATGAGATTTTTCTCATTTTGGTTAAGTTTTACCTATATGAAAAAGTCATAGCATGAATATTCAATTAGGAACTTGAGGGATTTTTCCCATAGAGCCGCACTTGTCTTGCACTCCAGCAGACAAGAGTCTCTCCAAAATGTATGCACAGTAGGCATACAAAACAAAGAAAAAACAAACGGAAGAGCAAGTCAAAATAAAATTCATAACGAAGCGATTCTAGAAAGTGAGAACGCAATGAGAGAAAACATCCTACGACCTAGGCGATCATATCCAAGGTCAATCTTCTGTTGCGTGAGTAGCTCACATCGAGTCCCAGATCATCCTCTGGTATTTCGTCCTCGAACATTCTCTCCAAAAATGATTCCACGTTCGTCGGGGCTATCAAATGAAATTCAAATGGAGGTAAAATGTCGTTCCACGAAAGAAAGTGCGAGGAAACTCGAGGTACAAACATCGACGAAGGAAAAACTTGGTAGCTACTCCCCCGAAGACAGTAGATCGTCTCTGCTTGCAAGCTGGACAGAAAGGATTCAGTTCGTCTGCGACGCTTTTTCTTTCCATCATCCTATAGCGATCGGTACGGGGTTTGCAGTTCCCATCCCTATGCACGTCATGAGAGGCGTGAATGAGAGCGTTCTGTAAGGTCAAACAGTATTTCAGGGAGACACGTACTTGTCGACAACTAAGTCAATGTTGCGGAGCTTATCTTCCATATCCCACTGCAGCCTCTCGTCTGACATGGTGTACTCCAGGATGAATGCCTCCAGGACGAAAGCCGTGAAGATGCTGGATTCAGTAATAAAAATAAAGAATTTATAGTAACAAGTTTACCGTCTTCCGTCAGTGAAAGGAATAAAAATGAATCCTTGCTATATCGACTCACTTGAGAACAATGAGGACACAAGATATGTGAAAGGACAGAAAGTAAAGCCTTGCCCATTTGCTCGTCATCAACACGTATCCGGATGTGATCACTGATCAGGAGTCAAGATGAATTTGAAAATGATATTTCTTGCATATTCTCTCGAATAATAATCCGCAAAATTCAGAGCGATGTCCTTTAAAAATTGAATATAGATGCTGCCTTCGGGAGGATGAAAGAGTATTATAAGCCTATATAAATTATTATAAATAAAAAAAAACCCTGTTCAAGGGCGCGGTCGGCCTCTCCTACTTTCCCCGCCTTCACCACTTCTCCAACGGTGGTTGGTCCGCCGTATGTTTAGATACGAAACACCCATACAGAGTTTTTTTTATAAGTAACTTTACATATTATTTTTCCTATGTAGCAAAGTGTCGGCAAGTGATGTTGCCATTGTAAGTGTGAAGCTTGAAAATGTATTCCTAATCCTTGTCGTAGTCAATATGACAACTCGTTTGACGATAAGAACGACGACAAATCGCAGTGTGGACGAACGAAAAATTCCCTGGAAAGAAAAACATTCCGACAAGGGAAAAAAAACAACTTTTTCCTGCCCCACCAAACTATGGCCAGACTGGAGTCCATCGGATTTAGGATGGTGTCATACATAGACAAAAATGTCCGCATCCAAGCCAAAAATATATTCAGGACTTGCGGTACAAGGAATTTATGACGCAATCGCGGGAATTGATTCTGACACTTGTGAGAGGTCCATAGGCCATGCGGAGGCTAACTGAGAGATGTACACTGTAAAGCTCGTATATCAGTAGAATAAATCTCAGCTTGCACTGTTTGAAATAAAATCGATAAAATGCTTTTTCGACCAACGAAGTATTATACAAATGTAGAGTCATTTATGGAAACCCTGTTCGCTTCATATGAACTCGTGGTCGCATTAGACGACGTCCACCTTACCCAAAACGAGGAGACACCTATTTCCCTGTGGAGAACAATCTCCACGCGGTTAATCCACGACTAATTTGGTTTTTTCTATTTCCCAGTGAGATACAGAATTTCGACAAACTTGCAGGTTTATTGACATCGTCTCAATGTTGTGCGAATGTCAATGGACTTTAAAGATATACCTGTCTCAAATTTTCCTTTCCACTGCACATCTTGTCCCACTGAGGGGAAATTCCCTTCTATGAGTGGATGTACTTGCTGTAGGGTGATTGAACCCTTTGCACACCATTTTCGCGCCCCACGCGACATTACGAACTAGGAGTTACGCTCCAGTGTTGCGGTACGTGCGTCACCTTTTCTTTACATGTAACACACTGGCCTTCACCCCGGGAGCTGTTTTAAGATATCTCACGACCTGAAGGAGTACAAACTTTGAGAGCCACAGCTTATTCTGCTAGTTAAGGCAAGAGATTTATATTTCCATTTAGTAATTCCTGAGAAAATCACTTTTTCCTGAACCATAATTTTTTAATTACATTTTTCCGGCTTTTTTTCTGAAGTGAATTGGAAAAAAAAAAAAACAAACAGGTTTCTTCTGGAGAGTTGAGAGGATTAATGCTCCGTCTGCAACTACCTGCCTTGTCTAAAGAGATAGGAAGGCTGTGATAACGTTGACAAAGAAAAATGTCATTTTTCGGGCCTAGCAAGATCTTTTAGAGGACCCCCACTGAAGTCAGTAGAGAGCTAGCGGAATCCCGTCCACTGGGCGGGAACAAGGATGGGATGTTGTTCCTAGTACGGGAATGACTTTCAAGCCCCGTTTACTTTAGTTCGCGGTCCCCTTCCCATCCCCGTCCTCATTCAGTAAACGATCGACGATCATCTCGATCAGATCATCTTGGTGGACCGCGCCGAACGAGATACCCATCGAGGCGCCTGAATGGTTTCAATGTGACCTTGACGAACTTTGATAACAAGCCTCTCAGGAGTGGTAGTGCAAGGAAGTGTCACGGTGAGAACCAGCGTCGCCTCTGAAAATGAGTTTAAATGTTCATTGTTAATCGACTTCAATTTGGCAAAGCCTCACGAATTATAGATTGAGTAAATTTTGCTATGGTTATATTGAACTAAAATCCCACTTTTCTCAAGCGTGTTGATGACTCTGTTTTCCAACAGGGATAAACAAAAAGATAAAAGCAGTGACAGGAAAACCGGGTGATTTGGAGTCTTCCCAGTGGGAGGTGATACGATGAAAGCTTTCGAGACGATTTCAATAAACTCACCTGTTAATCAAAATTCTGTATCTGAATAAGGAGATTCAAAATCTCTCCATGACTTCATAAAACTCAAAGACATACATCAGGTTTTTACTTTAATCAAAGTAAGACTGTGGAGTGACAAGGAAACAACACAAAAAGAGCTATTTTTGTTATTTAAAGAAAGGGATTCAAACTCTCCTATATGGAGCAATGAGGTACGAGGAGAAATTTAGACTTTCAACATGTTTCCTTTACTTTCATGACGTCAGCTGCAAACCCTCTATATCAATGATGCACAACCCGCCGGCCGCGGGTCGCATGCAGCCCGCGGATACCTTTTTTGCGGCCCCTTTGGATGCCTCCGGTCTCTACAGATCCATATTTATATGCGGCCTATTTCGGCTCATGTTCGAGGGCCTGCGGTTCTCGAACCCCTCTCGAACATAAGCTTAAATCTCAATTTGGCCCTCTAGGGGAAAAGGATGTGCACCACTGCTCTACATGAAGCAAGCGGAGAGGTATAATGGGTGCAAACCTGAAAACTGATACACTTCAAGACTCCACTTACCATGAGAAAACCGCAATCTGCAATTTTAAAACAAAAATCGCTATCTCATCAAATGGCAATTGATCGAATATAAATTATAAGACAATCTAAAAGCTTTTCGATTTTAGTAGAATCTGAAATGTATCGGGTCTTGGGTGAAGACTCGCGATATTCCTATTGGGAACACCAATATGGTTTAAGAAATGGCCTTGGCTGCTCCTCTTCCCCCTCCAAAACTGGGCTGCTTTGCAGTTTTACTGAGCACTCAAGATGTCTCCGGTTCTAGTAGAAGTGTTCACAGTAATTTTTTTTAGAGCTTCTCCTTTCCGGAAAGGAGAGACCAATTATAGTCCCGTACCGTATGTTTGCCTGCATGTCTGCAGGTCGGTTGCCCTGTGTTGTCACTCTGTTCTCATTTTCGCTGTGCGACGATACGTAACACGTTCACAGTCCCGTGACCCACATATGGGTCACAGGACATTCGCAGGACCACGTTCACGACCCACAAATGGGTCACAGACGAGGGCATTGGCATACAATAACCCCTCACTGAGCTAGGAGAGATGGTCGATTGGAAAGGAGTGAGATGAGCAACTCAATGTACCTTCAAAGGCAGGATGATACCCAATGTGGACTACACGTTCAACATATGCAATCCACACAGATTGGATGTGTTGGACGTGATCACGATGGGATCTAGTATCCGGATACATGCCGACTTCGTTGATGAAGTCCGTCAGAAAATCCCACTTTTTCAGATAGTGAGAGTGGATGTCGGATTGGACGCTGAAAAAGATATCCAGCTTTCTCCCTTCTTCCCTTCAATCCCTTTCTCCCAATCCAACGCTATTCCTTTTTAGGGTTCTTAATCCCCCCCCCCCCTCAAGCGTGTGTGACGGCATATGCCGCTCGGAACCGTTGCTGGTTTTCAGAAAAGTCACAGTTGGGGGCTTAAATTCATGTTGAAAGATACAAAATCAGATCAAAGAACTGGTTAGGGTCATAATGGTGATCGAGAATGACAGTATTTCGCTTAATGAGATGTAAGAATTGATTCCATCTTTGACTGAAGAAATCCACAACAACATTGAGCTAGACCGGTTTCTTTTCCGAAGCGGACGGTCGTCGATGGTTAGAGGATACGGACAGAAAAGGATACCATGCCACTGATTGACAACCATGAGGTTGAAGAGAACTATGAAGGCCCTGCCGAAGTTATTAAAATTATTGACACAATATTGAAGATGGGCAAAGTCAGACCCTCGGAGACGGGGATTCCCACAGTCTGTGCCATTCACGCTCGAGGGGAATTCCACGAGCCCGCCAAAGAGTTCCATGCCCAGAATGGCGTAGAAGTAAAAGAGAACGAAAACGATCGCCCCATAGGTGGAGATGGCCGGCGTGAGGTTCACGATCGTCGTCACGACGACCTTAAAGCGATCGATCGTTCCGATGATCTTCACCAAGCGAAGGACTCGTAGCACCAACAATACCTCAAGTATCGCCACGCTCTCTTCCATACCTTTTCCCAGAATATTATAAACCTCATTATCCAATTGCAATTATCCATTCAAAAACCAATTACCACATTTCAATAGCAAGAGAATCTTATATAAATAATAATTGCTGCCATGCATATTTTGTTTCAAATTGTATTTTACTCTACTTAGTATAATGTATAGCTGGACGAGACTCACCGTGCATAGCGGCCTGGAAGAGGATGAGAAGAAGGGCTGACCCAATGATCAGAAAATCAAACCTGAAACACAGAATATAAAATAAACATTTTTCTTCTTTAACTTTTAAATTATGAATTCTACCTCGTTCATGATAGCGGCACTTACACGTTCCAAAATTGTTTGAAGAAATTCTTTGTTCCAGATGCGTAGACTTTAAGGAGTATCTCCAGGCAAAATACAGGTAGAAAGAACCAGTCGCATTCGTCCAGGTCCAAGGCGATCAGTACCGCATTTGCAATGATCATGGCATCCATGATATATAGAAAAGGCCTGGGAATCAAATGGTGATCATTGAATCAATCGCTGCATGTCTAAAACCATATCCTAAGAAAACTTACTTGCTCAGAACGAATTCCCTAAGCCACAGGGAACAGGAAGAGCGATAGATCTTAGGGTAATATCTTTCCTGGAAGTTCCGATTGTCCTTGACCTGAGACAACTGGACGTTGAGTAGATCCGCCAGCTGAAGAAACTCCTTCAGATCTGATACAAGATCCAAGAATATAGATGCAAGATGCCTAAACTTCTTTGTCTAGAATTAGTGGCGTATTTTACAGGAGGACAGGGGGGGAAGGGAGCCGCCCCTCCTGGCAAGCCTGGGACAGAGCCTGGCGTCCCCTTGAGGGAAAAATCTTCCCACCTGATATCACTCGGGTGGGGTTTTTCACCTCCTCTCTGTTTTCTGCCCCTCCCCCTCTGACCTTGCAGCCAAAATACGCCACTGCTAGAATAGATAACTGGTTTAACAGATATGAATCCCGTGGCTGTCGTGGAGAAGTATCCATATTATGTCGAGGAAAGTCTTGGACTTCTGAGGACAAACGCATTCCTTGAGCCAAGATTGAAAGGTTTCCTTGTCGATTCCGCAGTGCAAGGGATCTTTGAGTATGTCGAAGGCTTGGGCTAAGTGCTGCCTCTTCAGGAATACGGCCGATCTCACCTCTTCCTGAAGCAATTTCAAACATCTCATTGAACTTTCAGGGACACTCATTTACAGCTACTTTCGTCCCTTAAAATACCTTGAGATGTTGCCGAAAATTGTTATAGACGACAGCCAGAAACACGTTGGCGAGGATGTAGAGACAGACGATGAGAAATCCGGCGAAGAAAATGGCGAACCAAGCATTCTGTTCGTATACAGGTAGCCTGTGACGAGTCAAAGATGCAAAAATATCAAAATCAAGTAAAGCATAAACGGAACGGAGACATTCTTCTCATAGAGGTTCCCCTCACATGACGTCTGGATTGTTTGCGGTCGTGACGAGGACATACAGTTCCCATATGCTCTCTCCGTAGTCTGGGAAATACGGATCGCCGTTAGGGTATTTCAGTCCCCTATACGTAACAGAATGAAATTCCTCATTTACCAACTCCTCAGTGAAACATTAAAAAGTTTCCTGCAATTGACACCATGCTGAGAAAAAATACTGTATTGCTAATTCAGACAAAACAGTGCTGAGTTATAAGCAAAAAGAGAGGGGAATAGTCGGTTTGAACTTGAAGAGTAAAGGAAATAAATGAAGTATGATGCCACTACCTTTCAGCAAAGAGTTTGTAAGCCATGAGAGCGAAAGCGGCGATGCTGAAGAAAAACAAAAAGAGGACATTGAGGACATCGGGCAGAGTCTGCCGGATATTTCGGACTGCTCTTCGGATCTGACGACCCTCAGGCACGTCGATGAGAAACAGGGGACGCAGGATTCGAGACCACCTTTAAAGGAGAGCGAAAACATCATCGGCGCACATATTTTCGCAAGGTCTCCACCTTGAATAATACATGCGCAAAAGATGATATAGGAAACTCCATGGCGATTTCGATCGTTATCTACCTGCCTTTATCTTAAGAAAGAGACGCGAAGACGGCTGCCTTCATGTTCCTTCCAGTTCTTATCATCATTATTCGTCAAAATGCGTCTCAATTCAAATGGGGGTCATTTGAATATAAAAGAGGAGATGAAAGATTGAAACCGGGAAAACAGGAGTGGGTAAGTATGCACACGATTGTATTTGTTATAGTCACGATTTTTTTTTTTTGGAGGGGAGGGGGGGGGGAGGGGGGGGGCCGAATCACTGACATGATAAGGGGCTGTCAAGTCGAAGACTGATATAAAGAAAATATTACCACCGACATATCAAGAGGCAGGCCTCGTGTCGAATGGACCCCCTTTTTGGACAGATTAGGTAACTTGGAGGAATATGGCCACTGGGGTAATATGGCACTTCACATGAATCACCAAACAGGCTGAATAATTAGTTTGGGCGAATTTTAAAAATAGTTCCATCAAAGAGTACATGCAATTGTTGACATTTTTAGACCTGCTCCTTAATCCAGTTCTCCCTGTAATACATCAATGTCTTGAAAGTCATATGCATGCGATTCTTCAACGCATGACCCTAAAGTTAAAATGAGCCACGAGCAACTTAAACGTATATTTCCTACCAGCAGCACGGATACCAGCATTTGTTACAAGTTATTCTATGGTCCCTCCAGAATGTTTGTGGAAAGTGCGAGTCCCTTCACTTGCGGATTGCTGACAGTATTGTCAATGTTGCCATGAAAGTCAGTATGGGGGAATATGGCCATCTCGATTTGGAGTAATATGGACACATCCTTCATTTCATGGTAGCACAGCACTGACGTATTGGTAGTGTCAGCTTCCTTTCATGTGGGACCTCAGGCAGCAAAAGATCATACTTTGCACTTCCTCTGGATATATGGAGAGATGTACAGGCATCTGGATGAAATATGCAGTTCACGAGGAAGAGGTGCATAAGGATATGCTCATGCACCGCCTCCTGGACATCCGCTTGACAACTCCAGAAATGTTCGTGGTATGAAATTTGATGGCAATTAAATATCCCAGCGTAAAAGAAAGTTAAAAGGGCATTCTGTGAATTTTTTTGCTTGCATGCACGCAAAAACAACGCAATGTTCTTCCTGCAATGTAAGACATCATATTTCACACTCGTAGCGCATGTTCACTTTAATCTACACTTGATCACTCCTCTTATACCCACAATCTCTAGATATAGTCTCCCAATCACGTGCAATATTATACAAAAGCAAAAGCTTTGCAATCCTGCTTTCCACAACAGTTCCTCGAGTCAGGTAATGATGTCGACTTCCTTGAGCAATACGGTTAGTGTTTATTTTTCAACTGATGAGCGTCCTTCATTATGTTTCAAGATATTCAGCATGTTCCAGCATATTTCACACTTTCCTGGAAAACCTTGAGTTGTTTTTTTTTTTTTAGAATTGGCCCTATTCCCCCAACTATAGAGTTATAGGGCCTCTTGGGACCAATTTGAAAATGATCCAAAGGCGCCATAACCATGGGCTTTTTCTCATTTGCCTTGCTGGGATTTAGTAAAGGAGATATCAATCAATATTTTATAAACATTGTAAAAGTCGAATTCGACCTTGAAGGGTCGTTCTGACCATTTTCTACGGCCATATTCCCCAAAATTACCTTATTAGTCGAATCTTGGGCCTTTGGGTTTTCCAGCGATCCGATATTGAACAATCGATTGTACCAAAAAGTTGTTGCTGAGGGGAACCCACTGAACTATCAAGAGCACCAGTTCAAAATACAGGGTAAGTCAAAAGTCACTGGACGACTTTGAACAGCTATAACTCAGCAAGGAAGGCATCAATTTGCAAACGGTTTTTTGCACATGAAAGAGCGTGCAATAATTGACGAAACAACATGAAAATTTGCATGAAATACCAGTAATAAATGGGATGAGCCTCCACATAAAAAGCAACCTTTTTTCAACATAAAAGTTAAATTTAGGGCACAACGGATGCCCAATTGGAAATTATTTTTCTGTAAATGTTTGCTGTCCCAAATGGTTTTCTGATTATGCCGATGAACTTTCTTTGGAGGAACGTGTCGCCATCGTTAATTTATTCTCTATCTGTGAAGGAAGTCTTTCCAAAGTGAAGCATCGTCTTGCTTTGAAGACAGGTGGCCAGGTCGCCGGATCTGACTCCACTCGACTTCTGGCTGTGGGATTACATTTAAAGACCAGGTATATGCCAAAAATTCCCACGCAATCATTGAACTGAAGCAACGCATCATTGAGAAGATTGGGGAGTTGCCTTTCGGCGACGGTTCGCGTGATTGAGCCTGATGGTACTCAATATCATGGCTAGTAATTAGTCATTTTTACGCCAAATAAATAAATACTTTTTTTTCTGCATTGCATATTTGTTAATTATTGCACACTCTTTCTTTGCAAAAAAAAAGTTTCAAAATTAATGCCTTCTATGCCGAGTTAGAGCTGTTCAATGTCGTTCAGTGACTCTTGACTCACCCTGTATATTGCCAAAGGTAGAAGACTGATTTCTCCTCTCTAGACGGGAGTGGCCTGACTGGGAAGATTCACTCGTGAATGACAATGGATGGGATTAGACATGTTAATCGCAGTGAGAAAAAAGTCTGGAACATTTTGGAGTAAGACTAAAGTAACATCTACTTAGGTATAACAGTGACAAGTCGGGATGATTCTTACCTAATGCACCAGTGGCCGGAAGCCTTGAGGCTGACGTAAACGACGATGTCTATGAATGTAAGCTGTAAAAAAATATATATATTTAAGTTATTTAAAGGAGCAATAATACAGTAGAGGCTTGTCCGTTAGTATTCAAGAGAACAAATACAACTGAAACACCACACAAAATTTCAGACATTGCATACTCACACAAGAACTATCAATCATTCCGATCAATCATTTCGATCTGTTGGAACGAAAAGAATTGTTGAGATGGTTAATGATAAAAAGGTCCTTTCTACGTCTCAAATGAATGTAATCGTGGACATCTACCGCGTATTTCCTGCTATTTACATACCCTTTGTTCCAAGGATACAGGTTCGGTGATCTCTCAAGGTGATCTGCGCAGTAAATCAATGGAGGACACCTTGAGGTGACAAGACAGGATTTCAAAGAGAGATAGTTTGTAAAAGGCTTGAATAATTTTCACATGAACTTCTATATTGATTAAAATCAACATACTTAATCACATCCATGAACTCAACTGTATCCAGGTTACCAGTCCTAACTGATAAGGACAACAATTTCCGATTGCAGATACCAAATTCTAGTCCAAAAGACGTCCAGACAAGGTCACCGTATGACATGCTGGACTTTCTGGTGACTTCCGCCGAAAGGACGCCGAATTGCCTGTGAAAGTCTCCTCCAAATGAAGACGAACGATCTATGGGACGTTGGCCTGAACCACTTAATAGTTGTTTCGAGGATGTCTGCAGAAGGTATCCATATGACAAGGTTTTGTCCTCCGGAAGCCCGAGTTTATCCTTAATGAAAATCCGAGAAAATCCTTAATGAAAAGGCGAGGCATCGCAGACAGCCGGATCTTTCCCGTTACACACATCTTACTAAGTATGATACATACTAGGTAGGCCAAAAAAAGGACAGTTTTCAACGAAATGGGAAACACGTAAAGTACGTCCCCATTGAAATACATGACATATGGGGTCGACAGTCTTGATTTTTATCAAAATCATTACCTCTATGATTCTGTGTGCCTAACTTGAAATCTTTTCTTGTGTCCCTTTTTGTAAGGATGGAGTATACATTTTGAAATACTTCCCTCCAATAATCTACGCTAAGAAGACATTTCAAAATTAGGATTTTTCCTGTACTCAGCCATCAAACTGGTACTTCTGAAGGACTGGAAAAGTGCCCTAATGGGTTTTAACGAAAATTTTTTTCCTTTTGAAATGTAGACTCAGGGAACTCCATGCCACCCAGTTTCAGCCAAACTCTGTATGGGTGTTTCGTATCTAAACATACGGCGGACCAACCACCGTTGGAGAAGTGGTGAAGGCGGGGAAAGTAGGAGAGGCCGACCGCGCCCTTG